TGACTTACTGTTCACTGAAAAAAATGTGAACAGTATGTTTTTAACAGTTGATTACCCTGAACTTTAAAGGTGGGGTAGGTAAGTTTCAGAAACCGGCTCGAGTGCACTACAATTTGAAAGTACACAGCCGAAAAGAATCCGCCCCTTCTTTAAGACTTCCTTACAGAGCACCTCCTCCGACACACATGAACGCGCACATGACGTCAGCAGACTGGTGAAAGTGGCCGCCTGTTGCTGGCGAGTCATTGAAGTACTGCTGCAATGCACGCCCAATGACGGCACGCCCAATGAGGGTACGAGATACATTTGTGCGTGCACGAGATGGAAGGCTGACAGCTGGCTAAACGGATTGGTCGTACTTTTGACAGTACTACGGCTTCTTCAGATGAAATGTTTTTATGGATTTTTTGTCAAAGCACTTCAGATATTCATTGCTATCGGATGTTAAGAGCATTCCATGGAATATAACAAAAAGTGTATCTCGAGCCGGTTTCTGAAACTTACCTACCCCACCTTTAAGTATAATTCAACTGAAAAACCAACAAAAAAAATAAAAATTAATAATAAAAAAATAATCGTTTTATTTCGATTATGTTGTTTTCGTAGTCGTTGCAAGCCATAATCGTAATCGCGATTAAAATACGATTAATCGAGCAGCCCTAGTGTGATGACTTCATCCCAAGTGCTCTCAGCTGTCCACAGTGTGTGTACAGTTTGTAATATCAGCCGCTGTTACCGTAACATTTGGATGTTCAGTTATGCACACTTTTCTATTTGATAAACATTGATTGATTTTACTGTAATGTTTATATAAGCAGCTCCATTTCATTTTGTTATCACATTATACGACTTTACCGTAAAGCTTAAATCAGGTGCCTATTACAGATTTTAACTACTTTATCATTGATTGCTAGTACAACAGTGTTGGCACAAGCAGCTCCTCAGTTTTTCCTTGGCATTTCTTTATTGGAATGCATTAAAAACAGATGTCATGCTCCTTTCTCGTTCCTGATACTGTGATATTTTGATAAGCAGATTTTCCATTTTATATTACATGTGCTGTAACTGAAAACTGAATTTACTGACATCCGTTGCATTTACTGTATGCAGGTATTATTACTTCCATTGCATGTTGTCATTGGCTGATGGGTCAACAATACTTAATTTGATGTTTGAAACATTTATAATATCATTAAAATAGATTTTTACCGTAATGCTTGGAGAAGCAGTGAATTATTGGAAAACATTTAGCCGGGCATAACCCCTTGAGATCTCAACATTATTACAATATAAGTATAGTTAGACAAACATTTACCAAAAACAAAAATAGTATCAACAAGAAACAGTGTGAATGTTCCATTGCAAAAAATGGTTATACTGTAATGTTTGGATTAGCAGTTCAGTGATATTGAATGTTTTATTGCATTTAGAAATATTGATGATGTGTAATTACTGGGAGTTGGAATATTTGATTGCATTTAAATGGATTGTTGTTACCGTAATGCTTGGGTGAGCAACGCAGTGAGTCAGAATGTTTTATGGCATTAAACATATATTGTTTTTTTTTGTTTTGTTATGGCAATATTTGGAAAAGTAGCAGTGCTGTGTGTTGTAGTGTTATTGAATCGAAATTAATTATTTTCACTACAATATTTGGATAAGAATTGTAGTGAGTTGGAATGTTTAAATACATTAGAATTGATTTTTGTTACCGTAATGATTGGAGAAGCAGTGCAGTAACTTGTAATGTTTTATAGCATTCAACATTTTTGAATCTTGTCTATTTTATAATGTTAATAATATTGAGAAAATTAATTCTTTGAGTTGGACTGTTATTATAATTAAAACGTTGGTTGGATAAGTTTGGATAAGCAGCGCAGTGAGTTTGAATGTTTTATTGAATTAAAATCACATTTCGGTACCTTTTGGATTTTAAGGCTAGCGATTGTTGGGTTTTCGGCTGTGCATTTACCACAGTCATTCCCAGCTACTGTATGGTAATACATTATATTTTGCATGTTCCTGTCAAATCTGCACCTGCTGTGTAATTTTGCAGCCTGATTGCTTTTGCAATGACACAAGCTCGGAACATGTTGTTTTTCTCGAGGTTGCTGGTCTCATAATGAAATCCTTTTAGTTAGTTAGTTAGTTGGAGATTTAAATGGCATGAAATTGACTGTTAAATGCTTTAAAGGTCAACTCCTGAGCACCGTGATGACAGATTAATACTGAGCGCTGCTTTTGTGTTGTACGATATTAAGAAAGCTTTTGTTCTTGGCTATAAGATAAGGTGTAACTTCAAGGACATGTGTACGCCTCAGCCGCTATACATAGCGTGCAAATACACAACATTTGATATATGTCTGCTTACAAAGTGATTCAAGTCAAAGTAGAACATGTGTATTTATGGTTGAATAATGGAAGTTGTAATGCATTAATGAAAATGCAGAGTATTAGCTGCTATGTTTTACATTATTAAAGTAGCAACCACAAACAGTGGAAATAAATGACTTCCCTATTTATAGATATAATTATTACATTATTTGCTGTTATCACACTGCTTGCTAAGTGCGTTTTCTATAACAATTTACTGAAAAACAACTGCAGACATTCAGGTGATTATTATGTTCTCCCAACAATAACATGACAATGAGCCCGAGGAATCTGTGTGCATTTTTGTATGTTTTAATTTATTTAAACTTGAATAAAAGAGCTTTCGAGATAAAATATCAGGTGGGCAGCATCGGCAATTACACGGCTGCAGTCATTAAAAAAGAACATTTTAAATAAAAACATTGAAGAACATTTGAGAATAAAAAAACAAACAAAATACATTCTCTAACATTTAACACATTTACAGACCGATGAGCCTGCTTCCGTTTCATTTAAAATCGTTTAATAGTTTTAAAAAGATCTTCAATTTAACATAAATGAAATAAAATGAAAGAAGATGTTTATTGTCCTTCTTCCTGGTTAAAGTACAGACTTTAGTGACATTTAGTAGAAAAAAGCCTTGGAAGGGAATGCAATAACTTACCGTACTTAAAGTCATATCATTATAATGTAGTATTTGTTTCACACACATTGATGTTTGTTGATGACAATTAAATGTATGGTTAGTGGCCTATTTCATTTATTTTTTCCTCCGTTAATCATTCCATAGAGCTGCAGGTTATGTTGGCATTGCATTGACTTTAAATGTAATTATTCCTGTATCATTTGACTTAGAAAATAGGAAATTCATATGCAAATATTGTAAAACTAATACAACAATGATATTATCTTATTATCTAACTAACCATTCACAGTACATTTATTTAAAAAAATAGACACTGTGATAATAATAATAACGTGCAGTAACTGCGAGTATCTACCTGTTATTCAGGCCTTGGGTTTATTTAAAAATATGTTTTAGTGTAAAAGTAAAAAGTGGATGTAACTGATTTCCACACAGCTGTGTTATGTAAACGTTATATAACTGCATAAATTACCATCTCTCACTTAATGTTGTGCAGTAATAAAGGATAATAGCGAGGGCGAAGAAGTGGGCTTGTTGCCAAGGGTTGCCGGTTTGAATCCCCAGATAGCGTCTGCATGGTGGCAACCTTTGCTGCAACCATGCTGCTGTTTCCGATAATGTCATCCTCTAATCCGTGCATCATCCCTCCTACACTCACTCCAAGACTGTAGTTTGACGTTTTAACATTTTAAGTTGGGAAGTTAACATCTGTCACTTTTTAATATTGATTCACTCTTCCTCTTTCTTAAATTCCATACAGTTTCAGTCAAATCTACACATCAAATTCCAATAAACCTCTTAAAGATGTTGTCTAATCAATTATTCACTTATAAAGCCAAATATCACAAATCAGTGGCTTTTCTTTAATATCTAAAATGTAATGGATAATGTCATGTTTTTACTTTATGCTACAACAGTTGACATTTTTTGATTTTGTGGGAAAAAGTGTTGCAGTACAGGAATATTATTATAAGTTATAGACAGCAACATTTGGAATTTTGTAATCCTTAAAACTAGGGCTGTCAATTTAACGCGTTAATAACGCGTTAACGCAAAAAAAAATTAACGCCACTAATTATTTGAACGCGATTAACGCATGTGTATTTTTTTTCCTCGGCCGCCCCGTAGTTTCAGAGCGCATCGAGTTTAAAATACCATCTACAAGCTGATGCTGACCGCTTGTGGCAGACCACACTTCCACGCTCACCGGCAGGCATCGACTGGCTATTGGGAGGACCAGGAGGGTGTGTGTATGTGTGGCCCGAGCGAGCGAGAGAGAGACCTTACGTGCATTGTTGTTGTTAGCATCTGGTGCTAGCTAGCTGCGCTAACGGATACAAGGAGCTGTTTAAATGAAAACATTTCGCCACAACTGCGCCGAGCACTTGACTTTATGCAGGTAGCCAGACAGTGGGACATTGTACGAAAAGTCAGCACACTCAGCACGGATAGTGTGCGCAACATGATTGCAGCGTCCAGGCAGCTCCCGTTCGAGCATATGCCTTGAGTTGCACATAGCTCCAACGATCCATCACACACACACACACACACACACACACACACACACACACACACACACACACACACACACACACACACACACACACACACACACACACACACACACACACACACACACACACACACACACACACACACACACACCATTTGTATTGTATTATTGAATGAGAGAGGTTCCAGGTTGAATAAAATATGTTGATAAGATTATTAAAAACTTGAAAAATATTCCTCTAAGGTACATTTAGAACAGATAAAAAATGTGCGATTAATTATGGACAATCATGCGATTAATCGCGATTAAATATTTTAATCGACTGACAGCCCTACTTAAAACACATCCTCAAAAACGAATTGGAACAACAAAAAATCCAGAAAATAAGTAGCCTACTGTACGTATAATTATTTTGATGACGTTCTTTAAGATTCTGGTCATGCTGTATATAATGTGTTTGTGTTTCAGGAAGTGCCCGGATGGTTTTGACTGTCTGAAGGCGGGCAGGAATCCAAACTACGGCTACACCAGCTTCGACAGCTTCGGCTGGGCCTTCCTGTCTCTGTTCCGCCTCATGACGCAGGACTACTGGGAGAACCTCTATCACCAGGTACAGTCTACTCCTTTAGTCATTTATAACCAGAGGTGCACATAACTGGTACGCAGGTACGCATGCGCGGCAACAATCTGAAATGCGTACCGTCACTTGTGTCACAAAGCGCATTTGCGTACCGACGTACTTGTGAAGCTTTTCCAAAAGGCGGTTAGATCACCGGACGACAGAGTCGGTCTCCGTGTGCACAGACAGGGCTGCTGTTAACATCGGTCTGTACAACGGAATTGTGCCAAAACTACGCCAACCGGCTGCGGATGGAGACTCCCCCCCTTCACTGGAGAACTGCGCTAAAACAGCTGATCACAACGTTCACGCTCTGCGGTCACAAAGTACTCCACTACCCCCCCCCCATTGACGTTCGCGATACAGAGGGCTTCATCAAATAACCTTGAGTGGAGCCAGAATTTGGAGTACCAAACATTGACTCCAGGTACTCATCTGAGTACCTCACTGAGAAAGTTATGTGCACCCCTGTTTATAACACACCTACAGTACACACCTTTACAATACATTGCATCTAGCTGACGCTTTTATCCAAAGCGACTTACAATAAGTGCATTCGACCAAGAAGATACAAACTTGAAGAAAACAGAATCATATAAGTACATCAGGTTAGAGCCAAACCATTATAAGTGCTACTCAACTGGCTTTAGATAAGCCAGTCCTTTGTTAGCATATAAGTGCTTAGTTAGTATGTGCTTTTTATTTATTTTTTCATTTTATTGCTCGAAGTGGAGTCGAAAGAGATGAGTTTTCAGTCTGCGTCGGAAGATGTGTAAGCTTTCTGCTGTCCTGATGTCAATGGGGAGCTCATTCCACCATTTTGGAGCCAGGATAGCAAACCCACGTGTTTTTGCTGATGGGAACTTGGGTCCCCCTCGCAGTGCGGGTGCAGCGAGCCGCTTGGCCGATGCAGAGCGGAGTGCAAGTGCTGGGGTGTATGGTTTAACCATGTCCTGGATGTAGGAAGGGCCAGAACCATTCACAGCATGGTGAGATCAAGGACATGGATGGAGACAGTGAGAAAGCAAAGGCGGTTAAAATAAATATTAATTCAGATATCTTCCCTGTCTGGAGGTTGAAGTCTCCGAGAAGTACAGTGGGAGGGCCAGTTTCAGGGATGTGTGAGAGGAGATTATCTAATTCCTCTAAGAAGTCCCCCAAGGCGCCTGGTGGACGGTAGAGAACAACAATGGTTAACTGTATAGGATGGGTTACTGTGACGGCATGGAATTCAAAGGTGGAAGGAGTGAAGTTAGGTAGCTTGAAGAGGGAAAAGCTCCATTTGGGAGAGAGCAGGAGACCAGTGCCACCTCCTCTGCCAGTGGGTCTGGGTGTATGGGTCTATGGGAGAAGGAATATGCAGTGAAGAGAGCTGCTGGGGTGGATGTGTTGGATGGTGTAATCCAGGTCTCAGTGAGAGCAAGGAAATCCAGAGACACATGAACAGGAATGGAGAATATACACATGTCTTAGCAAGAGGGGACAAAAAACACATCTACACACCTTCACACCTAAACACCTTGATACCTTTATACACTCACCTTAACATTAGAAACTTAAACTCCAAAACCTTATCAGCTCTTCTCTTTTCTCATCTGGATTGTTACAGCTGGACACTAATAGGATTCAGTTTTTTCCCTCTAGTTTTCAGCGACTAAAGTAACTGTGAGATAGGAATTTCACTCCTGCATTTTTGTCCGGTTTCTTTGTGTTTGTGCAGACGCTGCGTTCTGCAGGTAAGACCTACATGGTGTTCTTTGTGGTGGTGATCTTCCTGGGCTCCTTCTACCTGGTGAACCTGATCCTGGCCGTAGTGGCGATGGCGTACGAAGAGCAGAACCAGGCCACCATCGCTGAGGCCTGCCAGAAGGAGCGCGAGTTTCAGGTTGCCATGGAGAGGCTGAAGAAGGAGCAGCAGGTGATTACACCTCCATCAAGGCTGCTGACAGGGATTTACATTTGTAATAGAATGGTGTAGTTGTAAATTCCTCTTTTAGTTACTTTTATTTCGTATTACTTTGAAAGACACATGGCAATTTCTTTCCTTAGGGTGCTGCGCAGAAGCTTCTGGACTCGGACTCAATGATGTCACCGGATTTGTCCCCGTTCGTCCTCCCATTGGACGGATCGGAGGAGAGGAGGCGGAGCCAGGCGCTGGTGGGCGTGGGCGACGTGGAGGCCAACCTATCAGAGGAGAAGCTACTGCAGGTGGACTTGATGGAGGGGGGAAAGGTAAGTGCTGAGAAATCTGTGTTAATATAAAATAATAAATATAGAAAAAAGATATTCAAACAATAGTTTCATTATAAAACAATGTAATTATACCGAAAGGTGACAGTATTAGTTAATAGATTTAAATATACTATATTCTCCTGCAGCCCCTCCACCCCCTCCTGGGCCGCTCCTTCTCCTCCAGGACGCGGAGGAGCAGTCAGGTGTCCTCCATCTTCAACTTCCGCCTGCGGAGTCGGGGGTCAGAAGGGGAGATGGCTGACGATGAGTACAGCGTGCCGGGGGACGTGACGGAGGGCGTGGGGGGGCGCACCTACAGCGGTGGCACCTTCAGTGGCATCCTGCCCCACCCCTGGCCCAAACGCAGGCCGAGCACCTACAGCAACGCCAGCAGGAACTCCCAGGTAAGAATATACAAAATAAAAAATTGGTACATCAACTAAACTTTGTTCTGTTTTTCTGTATTATTTATTCGATTATTAAATAGGGACACACAAGTATGTGTAACGTTATTTTATTTGTATTAAGTGTTTTTGTTTATTTACCAGGCACACTGCACAAAAAACATGGTGAATTGCCTTGATATATATTTTTTTATTTGTTTATTTAACAGTGGCTCCTAATTTTGGACCCTGATTCCAAATCATTGTGGTGTTCATAAAAGGCCTCCTGACCTCCAGACATGTTAATAATTCTCTTTATGTGTGGGTTTTCAGGTATTTTATCCAACTTTAAACGTCAACGGGAAGCTGTTTGTGGCCATGGACCAGAACGGGGTTTCCCCCCCCACCTCTGCAAGGGCAGCTGCCCGCCTGCACCATGGAGAAGGTCAAGGAGGAGAGTGTGAGTACAGTGTGTGTGTGTGTGTGTGTGTGTGTGTGTGTGTGTGTGTGTGTGTGTGTGTGTGTGTGTGTGTGTGTGTGTGTGTGTGTGTGTGTGTGTGTGTGTGTGTGTGTGTGTGTGTGTGTGTGTGTGTCGCAGTGGAAACAATGGTGCAGACTGCAGCCATTCAACACTCAGACATGTGAATTATGAATCAGCGCTTTGCATAACTCCCCTCTGATATCATGGGCTTAAGACACATACACACAAACACACACGCAGTCATATCTACCTTCTCAGATAACACACTGGTATTCCCCCCATCTATGCACACACGCACGTACGCACGCACGCACGCACACACACACACACACACACACACTTATATCCAAGCACCCACAGTGTCAGTGCTATGGCATCATGGCCACACATACCAGCCTTTGCCCACACACACACATACACCAACACACCTGTTTAAATGTAATGGAGTATACAATTGTTTAAAATTTGAGTACATTAATGTTGTACAAATGATTATAATACTCGAGTACATACACACTTCAGGCTCTAACGCTGCACTTCATTTTATATTTTCTCAGTATTCTGTTGCAAGGCTGTTAACATCCAGGAACTCAGCTGTGTGCCTGGAAACACACAGACACACGGAGAGAAAAAAACACACACACACATCCTGTGTTATGTCTTTTCAGAAACAAGCAGCAGAGATGATAATCAGATCACACTGACACTGCATGACTCAGTGACCAAACACAGAGAGAGAGAGGGAGAGTGTGTGTGCATGTGTGTGTGTGCACGCGCTTGAGTGTTTTGTCTTAGGGTTTATGGAGTTTCACAGGAACACCCATGGGTCTCTGTATCCTCACCTGAACACCAGCATTTAAGGTTTTTGAGGACATATTTTTTGCGATTCCCAACAACAAAAGAACACTGTAAAATATAAATTATACATTTGTGTTCAATATAATTCAAGGGATGTCAGTGGGTTTCCTTCTGTACATAACCTTCCATCTATTTTATTGTGCAGACATATTTAGGGCAAACAAGAATATGTTGATGTTAATACTTTAGCAAGATTTTGAATGCATTTTCCCTCAGTGTATTTCTACACTGCTGACTGCATTGTCCCCAACGCCAAAAGGACATTTGTATCAAACATTTATCACACGATTGTTCTGTATTATTATTATTATTATTTTTATATATCAAAGTAAATAATACGGAGCCCCCTAGGGGACATGGAGAAGAAAAAAAAATGTATTTGAATTTTTTTTTTTTAAATGTTTTTGTGAGATCTCGCAAAACCCTGTTGCAGTTTGTAGACGGTCCCTAAGCACTCCTCTCCCTCCTCCAGCTGCAGATTGTGACCGTATCGAACTGTTCTGATAAAAACGACTCTGTAGCTCGTTGTCTACCTTGCTATGATTGTAAAGTCATGTTGTTTGTATTTTTACAACGTTATGTTCATGAGTTATTGATCCGCGAAATTCGAATCTGTCAATAACTCAGCTCAGAGGGACGTGCATGTCCCCTCGCTCTGAGTGTTCTCTTGAGGTGTCTTCACGTATGTGAAACCCTTTATATATACAGTCTATGTGTGAAAGCCGTGCCTATTGCCAAGCACTGATGTTATATCTTTATATTTAAGGCCAAGCTCAAAGTAAAATCGATGAACCGCTCCATTTTGTGGTTTCTGTGTTGCCGTAGGAGCCGAACTGACCAGGAAGTACATTGAGCTAAATGAAAAGTTTTGCGAGATCTCGCAAAACATTTATTTATTTATTTTTTCAAATAACTTTTTTTTTTCTTCTCCATGTCCCCTAGGGGGCTCCGTAAAATAACACTATTAATAGTTTCATCAATAATAATATCCGATGTTGAATTTATTTTAACGTATTTACTTTTCAATTTTGTTTAGACATTTTAGATATTTTATTGAGATTTGTCTCATATATTTCATGTTTCAAATGTTTTTCAGGATATTTTTCTGACATTTTCCAAATAATCTTTGATATATTTGCATTTTATTTGCATATGTTTAAATCTTTAATTTGTACATTATTTATTTAATTAAAAATGTACATTTTCCTAGCCATTACTTATACGTGACTTGTTCTCTGTTGCATTATAGTATCACTTGAAACATCTTTCAGACTGTAAATATATTTTCTTTTAAGTTTAATCTCACTTTACAAAGAACTTTATAAACCTGCAGCAGAAAGCAGACATCCCCACGTCTTCAGGGATTACATTTATTTAAAACTTGTCTTCAGTCTTTTCCCCGTCAGGCAGTAGGTCAGAGGATCAGGAGCACAAACACGCCTCCACTTGCCCCAGAAACTACACTCTTATATAACCAGAAGAAGACAAAGGAGATTAAATCATAGTAGAAGAAGAATAATGATTTTATATTTCAATAACACACTGAAAATACTTCGCTACAAGTAAAGGAGCCTATCTTAAGTAGCTCCTATATATACTGTTGGCTACTTTATTCTATAGCAAAAGCTGTAATCTATAAGATCATCATTTGTTCGTAAGAATCACGTCTCTAGAAAGTCAACCTTTTAGAGTTTTTCAGAAAAACAGGCCCGTTTTTAGCTTTGTGGAGATGCTTTTTCCAGATGATCAAAGAAGCTTTTTAGAGACTTATATTGAGCTTCCAGAGAAACATTAAAACCTTCATCCTGCTGCTTAGACTGATGGAGAGGTGAGGGTGAGGAAATGTTACCACGACAACGCACAGTAGCTAAGGAAGCTAAATCAGTGCATGCAGCTTTCAGATTGTGTGTGTGTGCGTGTGTGTGTGTGTGTGTGTGTGTGTGTGTGTGTGTGTGTTTGTGAACGTGTGTGTGTGCTTCCCTGCGGACAGGATGTAGGTGTTATGGTGGGTGGCCACCTTCAGGCCCATGCGTCACGTCTCGTTGGAGGACCCCCCCCCCACACACACACACAGACTTAAATTAGCATTTTTGCTAACTCTGGCATTTTTACAGTGTAATGTATACTGATATATTTATTAACTTTCTTTAGCCCTACCAAAAAACAACTTAATAACCTCTGTAAGGACAGTATGTCAACAATTACAGAAAAATACCAGCCCCATTTTTATGAAACTTGGTAAAAAATTGTTAAAATAGCATAAGTTCCTGAATAGGACATTTAAAGGTGGGGTAGGTAATTTTGGAGAAACCAGCTCGATGCGCTAGAATTTGAAAATACACAACCGGGAAAAATCTGCCACTTCCTTACAGAGCCCCTCCTCCAACACACACGAACGCGCACATGACCAATGAGGGCACGAGATAAATTTGTGCACGAGATGGAAGGCTGACAGGCAGGTAGGCCATCCAGTTATTTTAGATGGGCCGACATTTTTTTATGTATTTATTGTCAAAGCATTTAATATATTCATTGCTATCGGGATGTTAAGAGTATTCCATGGAATATAACAAAAAGTGTTTCTGAAATAAATTACATACCCCACCTTTAAGTTTAAAATGTAGTTGATCACGTTGATTACGTAGTTTAATTTAAGCAGTAAATAAATAAGAAGAAATAAGACAGAGCTACACACACAAAAACAGCAATGGCACACTGATTTCTCTGATTCAATGAACACCAGTCATCACCTATCTGTTACCCTGGTGATAATAGGTACACACACACACACACACACACACACACACACACACACACACACACACACACACACACACACACACACACACACACACACAGATATGGAAATCACAACACTGTTTGACCTATTTGACCTGACATTAATCTGTGTGTGCTTGTAACCGATGAATGTGTGTTTGTCTTTTACAGCTTGTATGTCCTCTATGTGTTAGAATAAAGAGTGTTTATTGTTTTTTGGCACCTAATTATAAAACCCCATAATAACCTGAATGACCCCTCCCCCACAGGTCCCCACCTCCACCACGGAGCTCAGCACCATGCTGTTACCTCGCCCTTCGTCCATGCAGGGCTCTGTGCAGAGAGGGAGGGCTCTCAGTGCGGCCAGCTACCTCACCGACGCCATGGAGGGTGAGCACAAACACTCAACTGAAAATACAGGGAGTCAATAAACATAATAGAATCAGATTTATCACAAATTAGGTTTACACATACAAAGACGTTGCTTCTTTCGTGCAATCCATAGTCCTTCAGATGTTTTTCAGACTTTTAAAAATATTGAGCATCGTGTCTGTGAATCCATTAAAAGGGTCTCAATACTGGACCATATTCAGAAAATGTTCAACCCTTTAGTCAGTCTGACACAGATATGTAAGAACAGGGTCCATGCTGAATACTGAATAATACCGGATTTTAACCTTGTCTGACTTTTTACCTCAGTGTGTGTGTGTGTTGCAAATTTTTTGAGTGGTTGATTGTGTGTGTGTGTGGGATTGTGGAACCACGTTTTGTTTTAATTTTTCATCGGAAGTGAGTTTGTTAAGTGTGAATGCGTGTGCTTCTAGACTGTCTGCATGCGTGTGTAATTGTGTAATGATATCAGAGTCTTTCTCTATATATGTGTGTGTGTGTGTGTGTGTGTGTGTGTGTGTGTGTGTGTGTGTGTGTGTGTGTGTGTGTGTGTGTGTGTGTGTGTGTGTGTGTGTGTGTGTGTGTGTGTGTGTGTGTGTCGCTGCCCAAACCATCCCCAGGGGGACACTGGCTTTGTTTGTGTGAGAGAGTTGGGGAAAAAGAGAGACAGAATGAAAGTGTGTGTGTGTGTGTTTGTGTGTATGTATATTATGATGGTTTCCCTCATTAACCACAAGCTCTTTTCCATGAGTGTGTGTCTGTTTGATGATATTCATGATTTTTTTGGTTCATATCCATCCAAATCTGCATTTTTTTCTGTTTGTGCGTATGTCAGTGTGTGTGCGTGTCTGTGTGCGTGTGTGTTTCTTTGCTGAGTCACTGTCTCTCCCCTCGGCAGTCACCGCTCTTACAGAACAGATCATCATGGAGAAACCTTTTCAAAATGATATTTTTTGTCCTCCGTCCATCCATCTGTACACCATTATTATCTCCTTTTTTTCCATTCCTAATTACTCTATCTATTTCTCTGTTATTGACAGTTGTATTTAACATAAAGAGGCTTCTTGGCCAGAATAGAGTAAATCCACTTAACTTCTTCATCCTTCACCTTGTTTTTTCACCTTTTTTTTCCTTATGTTTTTTCGTAAAGTTGATAACATTACATTTAAAAAGCTACTTAAATATTGAGTGTTCTGGTCAGAAGTGTGGATTCATGTCACATGACTTGGGCTCGAGTCATGCATTTTAACGACACAATCAATACAACTTTGACTTTAATACAAATAACTCCAGACTTGGACATAATACTCTCCCCATGCCAAAAGATTAAAAATGATGTTGTAAAAACTGCAACAGGATATAAATATTGCATGTGAACAACAGGAACAACGATGGAAATAGGAGGTTATTATTAGTGCGAATGCTGTTTACAGCATTCCACTATAGTACTTCAATTCTTTATTCTTCCCCTTATTTCAGCCAATACTTTGGCTCTCCATAACTTCAGCTTATTTTCAGCTACAGAAACCATTCAAATATTAAACTATTCAGCCTGTTCAGGAATCGATGGGAAACCTTCAACTTTTTAAACTCTTTTTTTAACATTGAAGTCAATGGGAGATGCCTTCAAATCCACTTTTCCTACACCTTGCGCCAAATGCTACTCCTTCCACATACTTTCAGCTAGACACTTCATTCCAACTTTCAAATGATCACAAGACGTTCAGCTAATCAATTCTTATTCAGATTTTTGATATCTTTTAAACTTTTTGAGATATTGAACTTAGTTTGGAGCTTAGCAGAGAGGCCTTTTTCAGATTTTAACATTAGAGTGGATGGGAGCAGCTCGTTAAGTCTAGAGTGCTTTGATCTCAAAACAGAGTGGAGCAGTGCTTGAAATTCTTGCCATAATTCCCAAACCCTACACTCCTCAGACATATGTTTTCATGAAAAACGTAGGAAAACCTCTCCTAGGTTGGAAAATAAAAAAAAATTAAGATTTTTTTTTTTTAAATGCCTCTTGAGGGCATGAAGAGACAAAAAGTCCACCTTGCTCCTAATTGATTCCCATGTTAAAAAATATCCGGATCTTTCTTCAGAACAGAGAGACGTGCACTTTAGACAAACTGCTCCCATCTCCACATTTTACGCACAAAACCCAAAAAAACAACATATATAAGTTCATTGGGGTTCCTTGATGCTCACGGTCTGGTAATTTTTTTAATCGGAGCCATAGTTTTTGAACAGGTGGCAAAATGGTCAGATATAATCCTCATTCTTAATGGGACTCAGTGCTGCAGTTGGTAAATCGTCATAACTCATCACCATGGTAACCTTTGATCTCTGGGTTTACACCAGTGGTTCTCAAACTTTTTCTGTCAGGCCCCCCCTTTGGAGAACAAAAAAAGTCCGGCCCCCCCAACACAAATAGTCAGGCTGAGTGGCGGCGCCAAAGATTTATTTTGGGGGTACTGTGGGGTAGCTTGATGTTTCATACAGGGTGCTCAAACATTTAGGGTTTCCCATTAATGTACCGGGCACTACAGTGGAATGTTCTACTGCAACACTCCCCACGCATACACACAGTGTACCCGCAACTGTTACAATGAAGGCTCAATAATCAGCTCATGGCATATAGGTGTAAGCAGGGGTAAAGTGCTATTTTTATAGGTGGTGTGTGGACCTCACATAGGGGGGTCCGGGGGCAAGCTCCCCCGGGAAGATTTATTTTTAAATATTGAAGTTAAAAACATCAATCTGGTGCACTTTGAGAGCAAAATGAAGAGATCTACAGTATGGATACATCTCTCAACACAGAACTGTAAACAGATTTACTATTTCTTTATGGATATTTTACAAATCACTCCCCTTTTAAACGTTATACATTTTTTAATGTCATATAGTATTTCATAATTGTTTTTAATTTATTTATATTAATGGTGACCAAAACGTTTGAGACCCACTGAGATAACACTGAGAGAGTCCTTTAGCTCACTGAGTCTCTCAGTCTGACAGGAGAGGACTCTCCTCCACTTTGTTGTTGAAAAAACTCCTTATATCCGTTAGCGTAGCTCGCTAGCACCATAAGCTAACATCAACGATCTCCGGTACGCTCTCTCTCTCTCTCTCCCGCTCGCGCACACACACAAAATGGCTCGTTCCACACACACACACACAGAGCCGAGCTTTAATGAAACACAGACACCCAGACGTAATAGTACTGTATCATATTATTTTCGAATCAATAATTTTTCAAAATATGATTTTTTTTTTTTAATTAAAAATCTTTTTAATTTTTTTTTAATTAATAACCATTTTTTCTCCTGGTCTCTCGCGCCCCCCCTGTCATGCCTCTGCGCCCCCCTGGGGTGGCGCGCCCCCCACTTTGAGAACCACTGGTTTACACACACAGGTGTTTGTAAACATTCATTCACTACTACTTACATTTAATATCTTTATTTAACTCCTTCAGCCTAATTTCAGCTGCAGGAACCATTCAAATATCAAACTATTCAGCCTTTTCAGCACATGATGGGAAACTTTTACATTTTTCAAAATATTTTATACTTTTTTAAATATTCAGCTTTTTAAAGTCTTTTTTTAACATGGAAGTCATTGCAATGCATTTGAGCTGTAACAATTAACACACACACGCACACACACACACACACACACACTCTCTCTCACACACACAGACAGACACACACTCTCTCTCTTTCACACACACACACACACACACACACACACACACACACACACACACACACACACACACAGACACACACACTCTCTCATACACACACACACACACAAACACTCTCTCTCTCACACACACACACACACACGCACACACACACACACACTCACTCTCTCTCTCACACACACACACACACACACACACTCTCTCTCTCTCACACACACAGACACACTTACACACACTCTCTCTCTCACTCACACACACACACACACCACACACACACACACAGTCACACACACACAGACTCTCTCTCACACACACAAACACACACACACACTCACACTCTCTCTCTCTCACACACACACACATACACACACACACACACACACATACACACTCTCTCTCACACACAGACACACTCACACTCTCTCTCACAAACTCACACACACACACACACACACTCTCTCTCACACACAGACACACACACACTCTCTCTCTCATACAGACACACACCGATGATGATGAATGATCAAGAGAAGAGAGAGAGGGCGATCAACAGAAGAGAGAGAGGGCAATCAAGAGAAGACAGAGAGGGCGATCAAGATAAGAGAGAGAGGGTGATAGAAGAGTGACAGGGTGATCAAGAGAAGAGAGAGAGAAGAGAGAGAGGGCAATCAAGAAAAGAGAGAGAGGGCGAGCAAGAGAAGAGAGAGAGGGCGATCAAGAGAAGAGAGAGAGGGCGATCAAGAGAAGAGAGAGAGTAATGTAACCTCCTAATGTAATGTCTAACTCCTATGAAAATGTTCAAAAAGTGCTCAAACTTCACATGTGTGCTAACAGTCCAGCCGTGAAGACATCTACGGGACAGTTTAGAGATTTCTTCATATGCCGTTGCCATGGCAACACAATGCTCACCATGAAACACGGTTTTCTCATAACTTCAGTGAAAATGCTCGAAATGGCCCAAAACTTCACAGGTTTGGTAACGATGCAGCCATCAACACATCTAAGCGTATTATGGGGTGTCATCAAATGCCGTTGCCATGGCGACAGATAATTCACCATCAAGTTAGTTCAAAAGTTTGCAGTTCAAATATTCTGCTGCTTTCCCAAGCCTTTTTACTTTCTTTTCTCATCTTAATACAAATTAATTCACTACTACTTACATCTGATATTTAACTCTTTCAGCCTATTTTCAGCTGCAGAAACCATTCAACTATTACATTATTCAGCTATTTGAGGACATCAAGGCTATACATGTTGTTGTTTATACCTTTTTTTAAACCTTTTCTTTTAAATATTAAGCTTTTTCTGCATTTTTGTTGCTAAAAGCAGCTACCATTCAGCTAATAACATATTCAGCTTTTTCTGCATTTTCAGCTAAATTCAGCCATAAATGTTCACAGTTTACAGCATTCACACGCATTTTCTGCAGGAAATGCATTTTCTAGTTTTATCCATTATGCTGTATTAGAAATAAATCAGGACACACCTGATCAGTTTTGGATGTTAGGGTTAGCTGAAAGTGATGCACATACATTTTCAGAAGCATGCATACTTACTTTTTTTTCAAGTTTAAAATGGCAACAAGGTTTGATTACATTCAAAACAAAAACGTTCTAACATGAACTTGTCTGAGGACCCCAGACTTGAACAGCAGATACCTTTTTTACAAATATTAATTTTATTATTATTAAACAATCATTCCCTCTAATATTCCGAATCATACTAGAATTCGATACCTTTCTAAATATCACACTTAGTTATTTTTTCAAATCGGGTAGCACTTCTCCCAAGGATCTATAATTGACCAGTCCTAAATGCACTTTGTTTGCAGAGCTGGAGGAGGCCCATAAGAAGTGCCACCCGTGCTGGTACGTGTTCGCCCACAAGTACCTGGTGTGGGAGTGCTCCCCCTCCTGGCTGAGGCTGAAGCAGCTGGTGAACATCATGGTGATGGACCCCTTCCTAGACCTGGCTATCACCGTGTGCATCGTCCTCAACACGCTCTTCATGGCCATGGAGCACTACCCCATGACCGACGAGTTCAACGGCATGCTGAGCATCGGCAACCTGGTAGGAGGGAGGGAGGGAGTTAGGGAGGAGGGATGGGTGTGTTTGTTTCGGGTGGGTGGATGGTAGAATAGAAGGGCGGATGGATGGATGTACATATATATTGATGAATTGATTGGTAGCTTTGTGTATTGATAGATTGAGGGATGGATGGATGGATAATATATTGGGTAAATGGATGGATGGATGGATGGATGGATGGATAATATGGTGGATGGATGGATAATATGGTGGATGGATGAATACAAATATTTGGTTGATGGATGGATGGATGGATGGATAGATGGTTGGAACATGAATCGATGAATGAGTGGTTGGTTGGTTGGTTGAGGGAAGGATGGACCATTAGTTGGTTTGTGAGTGGGAGGATGGATAGATAAATGGATGGATAGATAAATGGATGTTAAATAGACGGATATGTGGTTGGAGGATAGATGGATACATAAATGGATGTTGGATGGATATATGAGTACATAAATTATGGATGGATAAATGGATAGACGAATAGATACATTGTTGAAGGGATGGATGGGTTAAAGCTTTTGCCATCGAGTGTGCATTTTATTCATCCCAGTGAAATGTGTCCTAGAACTTGCGTGCAGTAACATGTATATGACATGCTGGTAAAAATATTATATGGAATGCTTTTTCTATGTAGGAAAAATAAGGGAGAACAATCCAGCAGATTCTGCTTCGAAAGGAGAGGGTAGAGTAGACAACAACTGCAGACCGTGGACCAATAGTTGTCAGTTAACATTTATTTGCAAATTAAGTCTGCCTGACTTGAGTTCCACAAAGGAAGAAAGAAAGAAAATACATTTTGTTTGCACTATACAACGTTTATCAATATATATTATTAAGTTGGAGCGATTTGGTCTTCTGAAGAATCTGGATGAACATCGTACCAACTTTTCTTGGAAGAGTGTAAAGCAAGTTTCTCCTCCTTTACTGTGTGGGATAAACAAACTCCAGGCGAGTTAGATTGAGGGACAAAGAATCCTGCTTGCGAAACAACTCTTAGACCTTTGGATTTGCCCTGAACCCATTTGTACAATTTACAAACCTCTGGACTGAACCTCCGAAAAAATCGACTCTTTGCTCTTGTAGGATTGTTTTATTTTGGTCCTTCACTAGAAAGTCGAGGTGAGTTTGAGTATTGGATCTGACAGAACCGGGTCGAGTGTTTTACGCAGCGTGACTAACGCCGTGTTCGACCCCGCAGGTGTGCTGCTGATCTGACAGCAGCTGATAGGTTGATGCAATATGCTAATCGCTTCACCTGAGGTGTGAACTGCTAGAGGCACCATGTTGATCACACCTGCCAACACACACACACACACACACACACACACACACACACACACACACACACACACACACACACACACACACACACACACGTATCTGTCCATGGATGTCAGGTTTCCTCAGTTCAGGCTGCAGGCAGCTGTTTGGGGCAGAGAATGGTAATAAAGTGTAAAAGTAGAAACAGGGGCTGTCGGCCTGCAGCAGTGTGGTTCAATCACCAGGTCAGTGCTTAAAGGCAGGACACTGAGAGCGGATAGATGCTTTTATAACATCTATGATAACCTAGTTTTCAGGTACAGTGAATAATTTACCTGAAGGAATAAGTACAGTTTAGATTTGAAATGGTTTATTTATTTTTTTCAGGACAGAAATCAAGACTCAAACATTTGAAGCCAACATTTTTCCATTTATACACTCTGCTTTTTTGAAAAAAATAAATGTGTTATTTATAAAATCCATTTCATGTAAATGGCCTTTCAAAATGCAGAAATTATGTTTTGAGGCTGTTTCCCACCCACGTTGCTAATCTGCTTTCAGATGTTTTTTGTCTGTCTGATAAATTTTGTCTGTCTGATACATGCACCACTCGTGTAGACCTTTAAAAAAAAAAAAACCTGTTACCTGCAAAAAGACGAGATTAATTCCCATTTTTAATATCCATCAATCAATTAACTATGCACCAACGTATCCTCTGCAGAGTCACAGGAAACCTGAGCAGGAAATGGGGTGCATTTTTCAAATCTACGCAGGAAAAGGACCTTTTCAGTTTGATTGAAGTGGCCACAAAGAAGTAAAGCACCTCATCGACCACAAAGAAATAAATAATAAACAGATCAAACATGGCTTTCAATCAGGCATTATATCCCCCCCTAGTTTGTCCACAGTTTGATGAGTGAAAACCCGGTACACTTGAGCATGGTCACATGAGTCACCACTGCTTAGGTGGCTAATGTTTGCCAAGATGACATCTATTAGTCTCATTTAGACACTTTTTAGCAACCGCTATTTTTAAATTCACCAATGCAATATTTAAATATGTTCAGCTTATGTTAAACACAGACCTTATTTCAGTCTTCAAAGCAAAAATATGTTCAAAAGAAACATTGGCTTACAAACGGTTGAACAGAGCTAGGTGCCACTTGCAAGCTAACAATCACACACATTTACACACTGTTGGCTATGCCATGTTGAGCGACTCAGGGTTAAGTATCTTGCCAAAGGATACAATAACATGGTTTGGATCGAACACGTAACAATTCGTTTTAAAAGCGACCGCAAAGCCTCACAGCCACAGTTGCCGCATATAGAGAGCGATATCTACCGTATAATTAAGTGATAATTGGTTTATTTTATGCACCATTATTCTCTCAGAATGCTTTCACCCCATCCTTTGCTGTTGTATAACCTCCCTCCAATATTTCCTCTGCGGCTTTAAAATGTCTGTATACTTCTGCAGCGTAAACAGTCTAAACTTTATTAAATGTATTCGGTTCAGGTCTCAGACAAAAGCTGAGTCACGTCAAAAGGATCCGATTTCAGTCTGCAGCCGCTAAGTTCTTTATGGGATAATTCCTCTAAGCTCCTCAGATGTTTACATAGCATTTAGCTGGCCTTTCTGACCGTCAGTGTGTGTGTGTCTGTGTGTGTTTGTGTGTGTTATATAAGGTAGTGTGTTGAGGATCATGCCAGGACATTCCTGACAGGATCAATGTGTACTAATGCTTCCTCTGTTTGTTGTTGTTTGTTTTGTGCTCTGCAGCTTTGCTCACATGTCAATAGTTCCATGCATGTATTTAAAGGATGCATACCATTTAGTGTAGGCTTTTATCCATAAAGAGCCCCTCCTCTCCTGAGTGTACTTTAGCTTTTACGTCTCTAATAGTTACAGGTAGGGGTCGGCACAGTGGGAGCAAAACAAATGCATATTGATATATGGCATTTATTTACAACTGACAGTAGGTAGTGCAAAAACAGACAACATCCTCCTGCTGGAGACTGATTAGAGGTGGGAAAGTATTCCGATGTATTCAAGTAAGAGTACCGATACCACTCTGTTCAAATACTGTTATATGTAATAGTACTGTTTAAAAAAGGTTACTTAAATAAAATTAAAGTAGACCTATCATGCTATATTTGAATAATATATTGTAGGGCCATACCTATATAAAACATGTCTGTGAAGTTTTTTTTTCAAAATACCAAACAGATCATGCATTTTAGCCATGCCTCATTTCGCTCTATTTTCTGTATTCCAGCCCTGTTTTTGCAAGGGCTGATTATGTGACTACAGCGCCACCTACAGGCCTGGCATATGTACTACAGTGTCTCCAGCGCTTTCGAGTGGTCTCGTGTGAACGGACACGTTCGTGGCCCAACCCCCCATTCCCCTGATAGGTGGAGAGTTGCCCATATAGGCGGAGCTCCTTGTTTCTGACGTCAGAGATATTTCAAATCTGTATCAGTCTGTATCAGCTCCGTTGCAGCCCCGTTTTTAGAGATTTGGATATGGAGGAAAAGAGAGAGGGTTGTGTTATCTGACACTTGGTGAGTTCCCTGACACACCGGGGACACATATTCATGTATAAAAGACGTACAAAAGTGCATTTTGCATGATAGGTCCCCTTTAAGTTATAAAGTATTCAGTGTAAAAGTAAATATGTACACAAATGAAAGAAAAGCACCCAAAATGACCAATTTACCTCTGCACATGTATCTGCATCCTGTAAGCAACAACCATTTTTGAAACTTGATGCTTCATCTATGGTTTGCATGAAGGCTTTCAACACGGCCCCCTCACACTTTTTGTCCCGAACTGTGCCTCTATCTTCTGTGGAGGACTTGAGAACCTTGTGGATATTCTTTCTGAATGCCTGAAGAAATACTTGCTGCCTCCCAGTCTTGTTAGTGTGTGAATGAAAAATGAGCCTCAACGTCTGCTGTAATGAAGTTTCTTTGTAGAGAGAGGACACTGGAGGATAAACTATACTCATCCACAAACACACAGAGTTTTGTCAGCATTGTGCTGTCCTTGCTAAAGGGCACTAGGGCAATGCTTGATGGTGCTTACATTTTGGGGACTTGCATTGCATTTTTTAGGGATGTTTTTTTGGAGTACAGCTGTCTGAGAAACTCGACACCTAAAAGAAACGTAACAAATAATTTGGGTGAATACACCCACACTCTAAAAACGAATTCAGGCGACCTTTCACCTCCACTTAATTAAATGCATGGTTGCAAGATAAAAATGTGAGTTAATTGATTTAGATAAACATTTTAAGTTGCAAACATTAATTTATAAGTTGTGTTGACGTAATAATGTTGGTAATTACATCAACTTAATATTGTGTGTAATTTAAACTCGGATTTCTGCGTTAATTGACTTAAAACAAAATTCAAGTTGTAGTAAGTAATGCAATTGGCTTGATAACTTAATTGTTCTACACCTTGAGTTAAGGATTTCAAGTCCACTCCCACTTAACATTCCTGGACAAGTTCCGACAGTTAAGACAAATAGAAATATACAAAGGACATTTTAAGGTGAGTGTCATCTTTTGTCATTCAAATACAGTAGATAGCCTTGTAGTTGCACTGTATAGGCAAATTGCTGTTTGACCAAAATTAGCAGCCTTTGAACTGTGAATAGTTCTGTGAGAGGATACAAAGTAGTAGAGGCTACTGTGAGAGTACAAATACTT